GAATTAAATTACTATCTTGGAAATGTGACATGTTCTTCAATTTAAGCCTGAAAACATAATTGTAAATGTTTTTTATTTTTTTTTTATTTGTTTGCTTGAAATGTGCAATGATTTATACAACCACCCATGATGGTGCATCATTTCCATCACACAGCCAATTACTCAGGAGTATTTATTCTATTTTCAGGAGACAGTTGCCAGGATCAGTAAAGCCTTATACAACAGAATCCATTGAGCTGAATGACTGCTTTAAAGCTCAGTTGATGTCAGTGCCCACACACTGCAGCGAGCTGGAAACCTGGAAGTTATCTACTGTAAGAAACCTCAGCAGCTGGCATATTGTAAAGCCATATTCTCAGGAGACATAGTCTCCATATCGGTGTGTTCAGACATTCAGGCAGATTGGATCTTGCCTCTCACTACATCTGCAGCTTTCTTGGATATTTAGCAATGAGAAAATACAGTAATTTAAACATTGGGCTTTCTGGCAGATGTTTTCTGGGGTGTTTTTCTGTATCTAAGATGTTTCTGAAGTTGCCATTAAGACAAACAAAGAGTATATAATATAATTTTACTGGTGCTTGACAAATCTGTTAATTTACTGCCGTTTTTTTTTTTTTTTTTTTTTTTAAAAGGGAATGGCTGGCCTTGCAGTCTGTTCTGTGTCGTTCACTGTGGGTGCATCCTATTCTGGAAGATCATAAAAGCCGAGGAGATTTCCACAAGTTGGTTTGGGAGCTGAGCTATTGGTTGGCACTCTGCACTCCAGAGACATTTGCATACAGCTTAAAACTTTTAGGTGCTAGGTGCGTTTTTAAGTCTCTGCCATCTGCGATTATGTGTTTATTAAGCATAACAATGACTGGCCAACTCCCTCTTCCTGCCTCATTTTATCCCTGTGTCTAAACACACCGTCAGAGCATCTGAATTCAACTTGTCGTAGCTGCACATTCCCCCAAGCAAAACCTGCTCCAAATGCACAAGTTTACCGATATGAGAAAGAGTCGGGACAGGTGGCAGGATCACTGTTCCGTGTTACCTGAGCTCTTCTGGAGAGGCGCATTTCTGCTCTGCCATGAGAGCTTGAAAGCTCCAAATCCTTCCACGTTCCCCTCCGGCCTCCTCCTCCTTTCTGTTTTAACTTTTTTAACACCTGGACTAACAAAAGACTGGCTTTGATCACGGGAAATCCCTTGGCAGAGCAGCAATGAATCCACAGCGGAGCTCGGTGTGTGTGTGTGTGTGTGTGTGTGTGTGTGTGTGTGTGTGTGTGTGTGTCTGAGTGTCTGTGTGATGCACATTGACCCAGTGCTGCTCTACAGAGGATTCTCAGCATTGAAGCTACATGGCATTGGTATAAGGTACAGAGCACCTCACATGTTCTACCCATCAAAGCACAGCAATGGAAATGAATACATTACAAACACACAGAAGTAGGAGGGAGAGTGCAAGTGAGCAAGAAAGAGAGAACATCTTGTTTCTCCCGTGTAATCAGTGGCTCTGCAAACACAAACACACACACACACACACACACACACAAGGCCGCTTGTTATCAGAAGCTTTCCCACGCTGCTGTGATACAAAGCTCCACACCAGGATGGGAGGATAAAGTGAGGGAGGAATGGACGGAAGTACAGAGGGATGGAGGGTCAGCCTTCAGCAGCTTAGACTCACTGCGGGGATAAACACATCCCTCGGCGGGGGTTTGTATTTAGGCTAGCAAGATCAGAGTTCAAAACAGGCAGACTACCAGGCGGGCAGAGCGACAGGAAACAGACAGAGCAGCAGAGATAAACAGACATCCAAACAGCAAACAACAACCAGTGCACACATCACACACTTTAGTTGAGAAGACTGCACATTCCTCCTCCACACCTCTCCTCCCACATTACTCTTACATCAACTCCTCTATTCGAGAACATCTCCCTCTTTTCCTCTGTCGCTCTCTGCCTCTCTCGTCCCTCGCCGCCTGCCGCTCGGCTACAAGCTCTTACGTAAGAGGCACATTTGCATAACAGGCTGTTTTCTCTGGCTTCGGCATGGGCACATGAGACACAGCAGATAATATGTTAACAACTCGGCCTGTTGGTAAACAACAACCTCCATCACAACACTTTCCGCGGTCGCACTATTGCGCAGGTCTAGTCAGTGACAGTGATGTGGATCTGGATCTCTGAGTCCAGCTGGCGCGGGGCCAAAAGGGGCTGAAACAGCTGTCATTTGCGGAGCGTGCGGATGTGGCTGCAGCTAGACGGACTTCATTCAGGTGGAGGCTGACCTGCCTGCTGTGTGGAACCTATACAATAATAGGTCTTGCACCAAGAGATGACTGTTCAAATCAAGCAGCCTAGCATTATCCTCTTCAGGGCGAGGAGGAGAGTGGAAGAGAAAGAGATTGGTGTGTGTGTGTGTGTGTGTGTGTGTGTGTGTGTGTGTGTGTGTGGGGTGAGGAGCCACAGATGTGACATGCACCAGGCTCTTACCAGCATGCTTATGTCTTTGCTTAGGGTCTCTTCATAAGCTATACAAGCAGATCACACATTTGCAGGAATATATGCAAACACACACACACATACACAAACACACACAGTCATAATGAGTGTGCCGCCCCTTAGGAAGAGTAAAGAGGAAAAGAAAGGCTCTGGAACGTCAATAAACGCTGCAGTATGAGCTGTCAGATAGACCAGATACCCTAAGATACCTCATTACATACCAATTCATTAAGTCAAGAATGGCCTTAATCATGTCTGGTTATTAAGGACGGACGGCTCTCACTCTCTTCCCCTCTCTCTCATATGCGCGCACACACACACACACACACACACACACACACATCTGTGTGACAACAACAAATGATCAAGGGAATCAAGCGCAAATGATCTCTCATTCAGGATTTCTCATTTACTCGTGTTGGGAAACGGCAGTTAAAGTCAAGATGATGCTAATTTTGTCTTTCATGTTTAAAAAAAAAAAAAAAAAAATGTGTTATCAAATGCCTTAAATACACCTTGATATGATCTGAGTGGGATGAAGTGGACTTTATATCACAAGACTGCAGCTCAGTGTGGCATATGTGGTCCTGCTGTTAGACTGACAGTTGTTTCGGAGTAAATCCATCACCCTTCCTGCCACTGTTATAAACAGTGTGAATGTACCAGTCCAGAAACTCAAGAAGAAGTGTTCCCTCTTTAACTCTGCACATAAACTGGTTAAAAAAAAAAAAGTAAAAAAAAAAAAAAAAAAGAAAAGAAATTCTGTTATATGTCCTTGGATGTGTCCAGACTTCTACAGTGTGTTTAAGCATATTGAGAAATAACCACAGAGAAATATGGCAGGTTTGCACTTGTGCAATTTTTTGTCAGATTCATTAGAAGTGGAACTAGTCTGGAAGAAAAATATTTTTAAAAAAAAACATTCAACACAACAGATACAGTGCTGAAGATGCTTGTGTATGAAGTGTGGTATGTGTGCTCAAAAACAGGAGCCTTATATGAAAACAAGAATTTTGTTGATGAAACCCAAATTCCAATTCGAGGTACAATAAATCAGACATGAATTCTCTACTCGGGCCCCATCAAATGTCTGTAGCCACAGGATTCACAGGTCTTTTCCATGTTGGCCTCTCCTCTGCTGTTACTTTGACATTTACTGATAGATGAGAAATGAAAGCTTAAAAGAAAAAAACTGTGTAAGCTGGAACTGCTTCGGCAAAGGCTTTTTCATTTCATTTGGTTGTTTCACTGTTATTTATCTATTGCAGCTTTACTTAAACGTAGCCTATGGAACACACACTGTGACCTTGACCCCCAAAGTCACCTTAGTCTCATGTTTACAGCCCGGTCCTCCGTCGTCTAAACACCACAGCGAGCTGTTTATCAAATAATCATCACAACGAGTCAGAAGATCAGAGTAATGTTCACAGATAGTTGAGTTCAGTCGTCGCCAAATTGATTTCCATCTTGTAAACTGGACGGTTAGCACAGAAACCACTGGTACAGCGTCATACATATCGGATATATGCGGATTAATCTGAGAGGAAGAGCGACCTTAATGTTAACTGATATAATACCGGAAAACAAACTTATGGGAAAGCAGAAGCCTGTCATTCCCATCAGGCCTTGTGCACCTGTTCCTTCGCTAAAACCTGATGCGGGCACAAAACACACCGGCGCTGTCTGTGCGCACTAACCACAGACGCCACACCTGTACAGAGGAAGCACGCGTCATAGGGAAATGAAGAAAATACACTTGAGTGGAAATGCCCTGCATTACTACCAGCTCCTAAAGTTGCCGTAATCAGCGAGCATCAAACAGTTCGGTGCGTAAAACCCGTCCAGTGTCTCTATGACTCATCCAAGTGCTGCGAGTCAAAAAAACAACCGCGGGGCTGGTTATTTCACGGTGAGGTGTGTCTTCCTAGCGGGCTCATGTTTTTTTTTTTTTCCTTCACCCCCATTGCCACTCACGCACAGGACACAAGAGCACACATGCAGGAGACGCACCACGCTGCCAATGGCTTCACAGTCGTGCTCGGGTCGTGTCCTGAGCACGCCATTATAAAAACAGGACAACCCCCCCCCCCATTCCTCAACATTAACACCAGAGTGATTCCCCCAATGTTACAGGACACGCTCTCTCTGGAGCTGCCTCACATCACGCACGTTTGCAGACAAAACGCACGCACATTCAGCGCACGTACACACTTGCGCAGGCACAGACACACACGAATATGAGTGTGTGTGTGTGTGTGAGAGAGAGAGAGAGAAAGCGAAAGAAAGAAAGAGGGAGAGAGAGAGAGAGCTCCACATCTTTCCGCCAGGACCCGCGTGTGACCGCGCGTTCTGCCCCTTGATCGTCCTGCCCTGCTGCTGGCCTGCAACATGCGCGCGTACACACACACACGCACGCACGCACACGCACACACACACACAAACACACGTACACGTAGCTAACGCACACAAACACACGTGCACGTACGCACCACCCGTCCCATGGCTCACCTTTCAGAAGAATCCCATAAATAGTGTAGAGGGTGAAAATCAAATGATTCTTGAGATTCATCCTGTCTTCTCCGCGTCTCTGCTCTTGCCTTTCCGCGCTAATTTCTCTCCTCCTCACCGTCTCTCCCCACTGAACCTCGAACCGGACCGGACGGCTTTGTCAGCTATCCAGGTGGACTTGGGAGTGCGTCTTTTGTGCGTCCCTGGGAGAAAAAAAGGGGGTTAACACAACCGACTTCGCGACCCCGTAGACTGTGATGCTTTTGAGGACGGAAATGCTCTCGCTCCTCAAAAAAAAAAAAAAAAAAAAAACCACACAACAGTCTGGATATTTTTTCTCAGAGATGCACCAGCGGTAAGGTAACAGGGTCAGTTTGTACGGGACTCTGAACACCAGCAGTCAGGCTCAGAGAGTGAGAACAGTCGTCCTCTGCTAACACAGTAGATAGTGCCGCTGCTGAACTACTGCCTGCCCCAGCTCTTGGTCTGCTGTGGCGCACAGTTCACAGTGCAGGGAACACGAGTGGATTGTTTGAGTCCCGCCCACACCGTTTTGATGGACATGAAAGGTGAGCCAATCACGAAGACCCGAGGCTAAGCGAAGTGGGGGAGTAACGAGGGGGGGGGGATCACCGTATGAGACACACTGCAAAAAATGTTTAAATTCAAGTCATTTTGAGATTTTCTGAGTTTTAAAATACTATAAAGCTTGTCTGGAGGATTCCTAAAGTGAAGTATATATATATATATATATATATGATATGTATGCTAATCCATACACAAAAATAAAATCTGTGGAAAGCTATTATCTCAAAGCAAAACAGATCATTTACATTCATTGTAAACAAAGAATTTGAAGATTAAGGCAGAAATGTGCAGCAGTGAGAGGTGCAGTGAAGATGGGTATCTGTAAGTCGTGGATGCCCATTGTCACTTCTTTAATTCAGCCACTGCCAAACTTGGAGAATGCTTTTTTTTTTCCAGTGTGATTGGTTGCAGTGTGTGACATATGGTGCGAGGTGTATTGCCTTCATGATGCTGCTTTGACTCAAATAGGTTTTAATGACTCTCCAGCCTCACCAGGGCACAGAGCCTGTGGGAGGAGCTGGTCATTTTTTGCAGTGTAAGCCTCCACGTGGAATGGGCTCAGAATTCAAATCAGAGAAAGGGCATGCAGACATACTCCTGGGCATGAGCTGCCCTTCCACATGAACTGGGTAAGTCATATGTTTCACTGCTTGCTGCTGTGTTCATAGTGGAGATTCCAGTTAGAGGGCTGTTAAGTATTAAGGCTGACAACTGCCAACAAGCTCTGAAGATTGTCTTGTCGAGGATGATCAGAAGGGTGGAGAGGTGAGGTGGGATGTGATGGGACAAGGCGGTGTGTACAGGTGTAGGGGACAGGGGGTGGAATGGTCTGCAGCCCCTTTTGAAAAAAAAAAAAAGAAAAGAAAAGCTGTTAAGAGAAAAATCGAGAGAGAATGAGCAGGTTGCACAGTATAAGCGGTTGATGAGACAGCAGTGTAGGAAGAGACGTGTACAGTGAACGGATGTATGTGATGTTTGCCTCGGTTATTCAGATGTTTATTCTGTCAGCAGCTGCTCTGTATGTTCACAAACTAAGAGCAGAGGAAAGGAATTAGACGACAGTGCATTGTCACCACTTGTCAACAATAGTGTCTGTGGCAACAAACACAGACGTGAATTAGGATTGTTTATCGCAGAAATCTACCAGAATTTGTTCCCGTCGAGTCATTTGAGGAATTCTGGTTGTGAGATCAGAGAGAAGGAGCTACCAACTGCTTTGTTAAGATAAATGAACATAAGAAAAATCAGATTTATAAAGGGCAAGTCAAATCTGACATAACACATTTTGCGTGTATGACCATTTGGCTTTACGGCCTTTGCACACAATCAAAAAGAACAATGGCACAACTTCATTTCAGTCACACGACTAAAGCTGCTGAGCAGGGCGTGTCCTCACCAAACAACATAATGAAAACATACACTGTTGTACCATTCATTTTCCTCTTGACTTGCTCAGGTCATTTGAGGACTGTTGGGGTGCATAAAGTGTGACTCATATTAGTGCCGATTTGAAAAACTAAGATTTACAATCAGTTTTTTTAAATTCAGAATTACTAATATCTTTTTCCCCTCATATAAACACGCTGTCTTGTATATGTAAACACACACACACACACACACACACACACACACACACACACACACACACACACACACACACACACACACACACACAAACACACAAAAGGACAAATTATGGTGTCCTTTGTTTTCCGTAAAAGATTCCAATCTGTTTGTGGACGATGTTCTATAAATAAACTTGACTTGACTTGACTTGGCCTGCTGATCGCATTTTGGGTCAATCCACTTTAAGAGGGGGTGCTGCACACCTTGTAATGGCTCATTTCACACTCTCAAAATTGGTGTGTGCCATCACTAGAGGCATAGCAAGAAACCACAGGGTCTTCTCTAAAAAGCACTCGGATCCAAGCGAGAGGCCAGTCAGTGGACGGAATAAAAACGGCACATTCAAGTTTCCGCCTCACCTGGGATTGTCCGGGGTGCTCCAGATGGCAGATAGACCAGTCTCTCTCTCTCCCCCTCTCTTTTTCTCTTTCTCTCTCTCTCATACACACAAACACACACACACACACACACACACACACACACACATACACACAGCGCTTCTAATGCACACCCTCCTCTCAGAGTTTCAAGTAACCGCCACCTGCTCCTGGCTGAAACCATTGTTCACTGGTCCATCTAATGTAGGCTGACACATGTTGCCAAGCTGAGGGCCGAGCACTTTGGCTTGGATGGAACAAGGAGGGGCATGACAAAAATCGCCTCACCTTTTCTTTTGAAACTTTCTTTCATGCATGTTTCTCAGTGTGTGTGTGTGTGTGTGTGAAATTGAATGACCTACTTTGTCATTGCTGTACAAAACCATTCACAATAACAAATGTGAAAAAATAAATAGATAATAACTAAATATGAAAAGGAAAAAAAAAAGTCAAAGAAGGGATCATGCAGGCCTTTTGCAAATGTATTTTTTTCATCATTTCATATTTGCATGACAATAGGACAATTATGTCATTTATTTGTATTCAGGAAGACATTTTGAAAACACAAAAAAAGAGTATCTGTGTAGTGAATCTCTCTCAAAATGTAAAGATTGATGACGAAATCAGATTTACATTTTAATCAGAGAAACCAATTACAACACCACAGCAAAGTGAGGGATGTGGTACAATATTGAGATGCAACTGATAGTGACGGGTAAGAAAAACCTCTTTTAAAAATTGCACATTATGTCTCCTTCACACTTTTTCTTGGACTCATGACATCTGTTAATAACATACAGTTTAGAGATTTGTGGTGTGATATTTGGAAGTGTGTGGGTGTTGTTGCCAGGGTTTTTTTATTATTATTATTGTGGGGCGGGGGGGGGAGATTGCTCTCTTTTCTGCAGCACTCTCCTGCCATCCATTTTTCATTTTCCTGCTGCCTGCTTTTGACTATCCGCTCCAAGCAAAAAAGCATCACCTGGTAGATGAGTTAACAGTGATCTGGAACAGCTTACAAGCACGAAATGACTAACCGATTTCAAATCACTGCTATTTAAGGACTGCTGGAGCTCATCACATTATGTGTGATAGCATTGCTTTTAGCTAAGTTTACCCAAGTGTGTGCACTTCGGCATAGAATGCCTGTCAATGCACATACTGCGAAGTCACTTTACATGTAAAAACTGGAAAATTAGTCACTGGCTACTGCTGGCAGAGAGACAGTGATGTGAGGAAGGAAATTGTATGTAGTAGCCAATACAACGCACCAGTAACTGAAAAAAGGTTTCACAGCCCAGTAGCTACTATGCAGAATGGATGTATAACTTCGGTATGACACAAGCGGCTTCTCTTGCGGACACCTGAGTGTTTTTCTCCCGCTGTGTCTGCAGTATAAATGACCTTTCCCTCACATTTTGGCAACCACGCAGCGCCACGGAGACCAGAGCCATCGCAGGCTGCCACACCAAAAGGGGAGACTGTCGGCCAAATACGACCACATCCAAATCTCAGCAGCAGTGTTGAGATTAGAGTGGCACACCAATTGTTTCAGTACCACTCACTCGGAAAGTGTTCCTAGACCAAACTCTGAATGCCCTTTTGTTAATGAGTACGGCAGCATTCCACATCCATTCTGCGGTGTAAAAGACTGTGGAGATGCACCATCTGGATAGTATTCATTCTCACACTTGGATTCTTAAAAAAATGTATGCATTTGTACTTGTATATATTTTCCGCTAGTATCACTGTTTAATTTGTACTAGATACCATGCACAGAGACAGGAAATAAAGAATGTGCTTGATTGTGTTGCTTGGTAACTAAGGTCAAGTTTATATCCGGGCATATTCAGGAAGAGAACATTTACTCCTGGTGGCTCCAAGGCTGTGTGCTATTTGGCTGCAGGCTTTAAAAGACCATACTGGTGGTTTTGTGTGTTTTAGCCCATTAACAAGGATTGTGAATACTTTCCTACCTTTTGCTCAGAGTGTTGTCTTAGGCATTAACTCAGTTGGGGCACCTTTCTGACTGTTAAGAAAGAGAAACCTGTGGTTGTGATAAGAGGTTTTTTTTTTTTATTTCATTTTTTGTTCAATAAGTAACAGCAGTGACCACAACACCAGTATGACAGGCTATTTTCAGAAAAAATAAGTCTTACTCATTCACACAGAGTCATAATGATACAGTACACCCCTATATTCTCCCACACACACTCCTACTGCATGCCTTCATACAAGCACAGTTGCGCTCAACATCACACAGATACTGTTGTTCTATACTAACAAACACAAAGTCAGTCTCATATAATACTCTCCAGTGGAGCCAAAGCCCCTTTCACACTGGCTAAAATCCTGCTTTACACCCGCTAACATCTGGCTAATGTCGTCAGTGAGAAAGGGTATTGAATCGGCATTCATTCCTGGGTCAAATGCCTCTGCAGTAGTCGTGGGGATTTATCAGCGCCAGCTCCAATTGGCAGTGGCATAAAAATGACACCAGGGTAAACTCGCTAATTTTCACATCTTTTCTCTGCAGTGACGTCTTTCAGAG